CGATTGGGGTTTCAACTTGGTGTCAAACGAGATTTGGAAGCTTCTGTTTGTGTAGAAATGTGGGAATGGATTTCTTAGCCACATCTATCTATCTATCTATATCTATACTATTTTAAAAATAGGAGCGTTTTTGTAAAAATTCATAATGTCTAAAAAACCCTTACTTTGACATAAATTTAATGCAAATTAGTAATACAATAATACACATCATATTTTTTTTTTTATATTTTTAATTAAAAAATGAACTACCTAAAATACTCTTACTTTCACATGTTTTAAATGGCAAATTGGTAATATACTAATGTCATCATATTTTATATCCTCCCTATATATCATTTTTTTAAAAAAAAGACATAACTTTTCTCAATTCAACATAAGCAAATCAATGAAAATAATATATTTTTAAAAATGTTATGAACAAAAGTTGACTCGACAATATTATTAATGAATTTATGAATTGTAAATATTTAATTAAAATATTAATTAAAAAATTGTAATTATATATAATAGAATATAGAATATACAAATACTTGATATATAATGAGACAGATGATCGAAAAAATTCTATACTTTATGTTATGTCTTTTTTGACAAATCTACAGTTAAGAACATGTAAAAGAACAAGATAAAGTTTTTTTTAAAAAAAATATTAAATAGAAGAAATAATATAAATAATAACTAAGTTTTTACATGTACTAATAAATATAAAACAAATTAATAAATAAAAAATAATATGATTAATATAACTAAATATAAACCTTCTAAAAATATACTTATCGATGTAATTGAACTGAGTTGTTAAACGCTTGTTAGTTTTTGTTCTTATTAATTTTATGTGTAAATTTGAGGTGATAGATAATAGTTATTTGGACATTTATACATGCAGATTAGAAAAAAAAAATTTATTATTCTAATTTTAAATATTTTTTTTATTTACTATATTAGTTTTCTTAATATAATATATAAGTATCATATTGAACAGATAAAACAAGAAATATTTTAATTATATAATATTTAATATGTAAGAATTGTAACTCAATTGGTAAATTAAT